TTGAATGCTGATGAGCAAAACACAGCTGCTGACACACATGGTTTTGAAATAGGGACAGCATGGACAAACTGCAGATCTCTGTTGTTCGGCAGGTCATAGGTAGTGAAGAGGACCACCTGAGGGATATCTGACACTGTGCCCAGAATTCTATGGAAATGGCCACCAGCTGGCACCTGACTGAAACTCCTTCATGATGGTCTTGTTCTCCTTCTCTGGCATGTCCATGCATGGACAGCACAGTGAAAATGGCTTCTCCCATTTTCTCTGTCAACAATCAAACTTCCTCTTGGTGTTGCAGATGATAGTCGGGTCAGCCTGTCGTAGATACCACACAATATCAAACATCTGTTCCTCCCTTTCCATTGCCACGAGAAACATTCAATGCCTTACACAGTCAGTTCGTCACACTTCACCAAGATATGTATGGGGTCAGTCATGAACTTGTTGGTCATCTCCAGGACCTCCTGAGGCCATGTGGCACTGATGAGAATGGCCTGTGTGGCTGGTGTCAGGCACATGTACACATCATAGATTTGCTCCTTGAAATGCTGTTCAACATTTCATCAGCCTCATCCAAAGCCAACATCTTGATAGCCATGTGCTTAAACTACACAGAATCATCTGAATGACATACCCCAGTGTGCCTGCCACAACATGCTGCCCATAGTCCAGCCACTGCAGGTCTTCCCAGCATTGTTGCCCACAATTGAGGCATGCAAATGCACATTCATGTAGTCCCCCAGAACAAGAAGACACTTTGGAATCTCTACAGCTGACTCTCTTGTTGGAGCGAAGATCAAAGGTGGTATTTCTCAAGCCTGGATATCTAAGCACTGGAGGACTGAGCTACTGAGGGTGGCTGCCTTGCCTGTGCCAGACTGAGACTGTGCAGTGACATCTCTCCCTTTAATTATCTCCTTGGTAGTATATTGCTGGATTGCTGAATGTTTCTCAAAACCACAGGCATAGATGCTCACAGACGATTGTGCCTCATTCCCATGGTGTGGAAAGTGAGGGTCACACCCACCTCCTCCCTGATCTCAAACTTCTCATTGGTCAAGTTCTACTTTTTGAGCAGCTGCTTCTGTATGGAATCCACCACCACCATTATGGCTGAGGCTGTCGTGATCCTGATTCTAATCTCATGTGGTGTCTATTTATCAAGGCTTTGTTTGTACATATGGGAGCATGTTCTCCTTTCCCTGTGGAACATGGATCATTTCCCCATCCTCCTGCCTCTATATCATTGCACAGTGCCATTTGGTTTTGGAATTGACTGAAGAAACATTGGAAAAAGTTTCAAGGCGAAGATCTATGAGAAGTGCACCAGCAAAGAGTCTATTTCACTAAATTTTTGCATTACTGAGGAAAGGATATATCTTTTTACATGACAACTGGCAGGTGTTTAAACATTTGTTTTTGTATATAAGTGTAAGTATTGAGAAAACAATATTACCTTCAAATATCTTTTTTTCCCTAAAGGTAAGACCCTGAGATTTATGTTTTCTTTTTATCACAATTTCTGTGCATATCTCTGCCTTTCCTGGAACTCAGTTATAAACCAGGCTGACTTCCACTTCAGTCATCTGGCTCCATCAGCCTTCTGAGTACTGGAATTAAAGGTGTGTACCACCATGACAAGTTTAAAATTTTTAATTTTATGTTTTTCTATCATTTTACCAGGTGTGTGTGTGTGTGAGAGAGAGAGAGAGAGAAAGAGAGAGAGAGAAAGAGAGAGTAGATCTTTGTGCCCATCTTTTGCACATGAGTCTGAGGATGTCAGAGGAGGGATTCTGATCCTCTAGAATTGCTGCTACTAGTGCTTGTGAGCCACCACATGCACATTGGAAAATGACCTCACATCCCTGTGAGAACAGTTAATTCTCTTAATTACTGAATCATCTATTTAGCACATATGAATAGAATTTTAGATGATTTGGCTAAACATCACGTGTAATGCAAAATGCTTCAGGAGAGGAAATTGAATGGTAAAGGGATTATAAAGAAAATGTTGTTATGGGCAATGAAGTTCAAATTTTCAACAAGGTCTTGCCAAACATATTTGGCCTAAGAATCCAGCTCTGGTAGACTACTGTAAACCTATGTCTGTGTCTCTAATGGCCTCCATGTCGGGTGTTCTGTGTTGCATGGGTAGGTGGAATATGTCACTCCAATATGAATTTTTAGGCCTGTGTGGCAGCAGAAAGATCCAGCTTCTGAGGATTAATCCTTAAACCGCCATTCAAAGTCATATTTAATGATTGTTACACAAAGTTGTATTGAAGGGACCAGCTCCCCATTTCGGCAGCCATAACAGCCAAACACGTGCTGGTCTGACTTTGTCTTAGTCACTATGAGGTCAGATGCCTGCCTCGTGGCAAGGAACCAATCAGAAGTTAGCTGGTGGTGCTATGCTTTACCGCTCTTGGTGTGCTTTATGGACAAGTGCACAGCAATGACAAGCAGAGCATAGCAACCACCCTGCAAGGGCCTATGGGCCATAACAACCAGTTGACCAATCAACACAGGGCAAACCCTCCAAGCCTGGAGGCACAGCAACCGTGAGCCTGTGTGTACCCCTAGAGACTCCCCTTATGCTGCCCTATAAGATCTCTATGCAGACAATTCGAGTTATCTTACCTAGCCATCTGCCATGGCGGGTGGATGAAAGACCCAAGCTAACATGGGATTAGCTCGTTAAACTATAATAAAGCCTCGTGCAGTTTGCATCAGGCTTTTGACTCCGCCTGGTGATTAGGGTGACCATGGTCCTGGGCTGAGATCCTGGAGGTTTGAGCTTCCAGGGGTCTTACAGTATATTGGGCACCAACTTCCTTGTACTAAAGTCCTTTATCTAATCTGCATGTCTCCAGGAGGAAAGCATCAGATCCTGCTACTTAGGTTAATATAGTTTACCATTTGCAGTACCCAGTAATCTAAGAGCTTCAGGTGTGTCAGAGGCATGCTGTGATCAAAGCCATGAAAAGGTAGCAAATCTCTCTCAGAAAGACAATTTTATGAATCACAAAAAAAGAATCCCTGTTTTCCACAATAATTTTTTCAAGGTCAAAGTACATCAGAAAACAACTATTCTATTCTACTGTGTATCCTAGATAGAGAAGAGCAATTACTCGTTGTAATGTTAACTCTAGATGCAGTGTCTCTGTTAGATTCCTGTAAAACTGCTAAGTGGGCTGTCTCTCTTAGACTGCGCATGTTCAGTTTGTACTTGCATGTGGTAGCTCTGCCGTGTCCTCTTAAACAGACAAATTCCACTAGGAAGAAATGGAGAGGACAGAACTGTTGTGAACGGATGCTGCACATCTAAGATCACCACTTCTCATGTGACTCAGCAGCTTCCCAGTCATGTTTCCATGTAACAGACACAGACACACATGTGCACACACTCTCATACACAGACACACATGTGCATGCACTCACATACACAAACACACATGTGCACACACTTGGAAACCCATATTAGAAGTCTAGCCATGCTCAGCAATGTTAAGTCTTAAGGTGGCTGACAAGGTCCTTCACTGCAGCACTAAGTGGAGGACAGAGCAGACACAACCTCATTCTAAACAGATGTGCCAATCAAATGTCCAGATGCATGCACTGCTTGGTGCCTCCAGTTTGTTTAAGTAAAGGAAGCTGTTCTGAGCCACTTAGTAAAACACACTGCCTGGAATAAAAGAATGAAACAGAAATTCACACAGTCTTCAGTCAGAAACAGTTCCTTGTGAATTGGTAACAATTATGGAAACATAAAATCTTCCTTATGATGGGGTTTGTATCGCTGTCTAACCATGAACTGCACAGTAACAAACATTCCTAAGAAGAGATGGGCACCCTCAATCCCCCATTATCCCAATGTACCTTTTCACTAAGTGAGCGCAGTCAAGGGCCCTAAAAACACATTTCTGACACCTTCGTATTCAAGCAGGAAGCATCTCTGTGTTTGCCTTATTATAAATGAGGGAAGGTGAAGGCAGATACTGTTGATGTTCAAGATAGTGTCAAATATAAACAGTGTCAGGATCAGAGGAGAGGGGAAATTCGATAAGGAATGCCAAACGTAACACAGAGGGAAATCCTACAATGCACCATGGACCAGGAGTCAGTGCACACCCCAGTGTGATCCCAGGAACTGTGCCCTCCTCCTGGGGGAGGTGCAGAGGAGAACTGTGCTCAGAGAACACCAGGTGCTGACTGACTACCTGCCTGAGTCGTGAAAAGTTAGGGAGAAGTGTGTGAGGTGGTTGTGGTAGAGCAGACACTGGATTTATATTTATTACACAGATTAATAGGTGAAAATGTGAGAAAGGAATTTACAGACAGTTGGAAAGATCCTTAGATGGATCTGGAAGTTCATTGCAAGTAAACGTCAGGGATCTGTAGTTTCCATTTTGTTCAATGATTTTAAATATCTCTGGCCCTGACCCATGCCTTTCACTGTGTGGATTCCAGGGTTCATAGGAACCCCATTCACCTGTGGAGTCTGATCCATGCATGGGTCACACTGGGTGTCAGCACAGGAGGACAAGGATTATTTTTATTAGTGGGTATTAAACCAAAGCCGCCTTCATTATAGCCAAGTGCTTTAGCCTGATCTAGCCCACTGTGCGTCCTCGACAGCGTGTTTAAATGTAACGCATCTATAAATTGCCATTGTTAGCCCTGTGTTCTGATTTAAACGCCTGAGTTTTCATGCTGTAGTTAAGATCCCATAGTAAGGAGACCTGAGCTTCAAAATCAGAACCGTTTAGCAGAAATACCCAGGATCCTTGGTAAATATTACTCTGAAATGCTCGCCTAACAGGCTAACATCGGGTGCTGAGATTGCAGGGCTGAAACAGCCCGAATCTCCTCTGCCCTGTGCTCAAGTCCTGTTCCTTCCAACCTCACCTCTGCACAGCTGGGAAGGGGTTCAAGAACTGCACAGAGCACCTTCTTTGGGTTTCCGGAAGTGCTTCGCGCTGCCTTGTGGGAAATGTAGTCCCGATCACTATGACGCCACAAGATGAGGCAGTGGATACCGAACTTCCGCGTTCATACTTCAAACTTCTCTTCTCCCCAAAGTTTGGCGCGTGTCCTGCTCAGCGCTGAGCTTGGATCTCTAACATGGAGGTTGGTGCAGGGGCAGCGCCGTCCTGCAGATCTGAGGGACTTGCAAGGTGGCGGGTCCGGCGTGAAGGGAACTGACTTGGGCTGGGTGGGAGGCAGGAGAAGCTGAGCTGGAGGTGCAGCTGTGCTGACCTAGGCTGGGCCACTGCCCCTGGGTGCAGGTTTGACAGGACAGAGGGGGACATGCCAAAGCCACGTGCTGTGGGTGTCCAGTCTCTTTGGACGCCCTGCTGCCCGAGTCCACCTGAGCTTCTGGTGACCTAGGAGCTGAAGGGAGCTGACTTTCCTGCTTGGCTGGGGAAGCATGCTCTCCCTAGTGACCTTGGCTGGCATGGCTGTAGTCAGATTTCTCTTGATTTCTAGACCATGTTGGCAACTCCTCCTTCCCATAATTTATAGCCGGCCTATTTACTCCTGGTTTAAGCTCACAGTGGTTCCTAGTGTTCCTAGTTTCCAGAGACCAAGTCCTGTGAGGACTACCGTTGTATGGGATGTTAGTTCCTTTTCCTTTGGAATGATTTGGATGCCTCTGGTTGAATAGGACTCCCTGATGTGCACTCCTGTTTTTAACCATCCCATTAACACCCCTGTCACAGAATAATCTTGTAATAGGTAGTAACCGGTCATTGGACAATCCACATAATTACAGATTTTACACTGCAGAGTGGAAGAGACTAGACAAATACCACATCAATTCCCTTTGAGATTGTGTGACATCAGAAGTTTGGACTCCTTTTCAGATAGGAGAGAGGACTTGGTATGATGAGAGCAATGGACCTAATGATTGCCGAGAGGGGGGCTTGAATGCCCCTAAAAGGGAGGGGGGAAAACAGCCCTGCTGTTCTGGCAGGCTGTGTGCATTGTCCTCTCATCACACGCTTTCCTTTCATCTCTTCACTTCTTCGACTGTGTCTAAACTCCCTTAAACATACTCTGTCACTGAATGTGGCATCCAGGTCCCCTGATACTCCCTGAAAAGTTCTGGAAACGTTTGCCTAAGTTTCCATGCTGAGCTAGAGATAATAAAATGTAGCTTTGAAAGACTGAGGCCCACTCAGGGACCTTTCATTGGCATATAGAAGTTTCCTCCTCCTGTAACAACTGCAGCTCTAGTCTTGAAGGGAAAAGGGGATAGTTTAGTCTGGAGCCATTTGAATGACCCTACCCTGGGGACAAAGATTAGGATATCCCAAATAACATGCTCAAACGTAGAAACAGTTTCATGGGTTTACAGAACAAAGAATGTTGTTAATCAAGGCCACTTCAAAATATATTGGTGGATAACCCAGATAGGGAGATGATATGAGATGGGGCGCCTATTCTATCTGCTTAAGATACTATCTGGTGACATTTGTGGCTTCTGGATTGATGGAAGCTCATGTTCTGCCAAGTCAGTGGATTCTAACAGGTTCTTCCATTTATTGACACAAGCTGTTTGGTCCACTACAGAGTGATGCAAGGAATGACTGTTTCTGGAGGGTAAAAGTAGCCCAAAGTACTGAACCTGAAAAATGCCACTCTCCACAGTTATGAACTTCCCCATGGTCCATCAGTCTCTGCAGACACAGACTCCTTCCCAGAGTTTTTCACTCACAGCCAGACACAGCTTCTTATCAATAATTTTCCTCCATAGCCACTCCCGCTGTCTCATGTCCTCTTGCATGTATTGCCCGTGTGTGTGTCAAACTAAGTGTTGGTTAGCTGGAGACTGGCTCATGACATTGAAGAGGACTTTAAGAAAACACAGGCTTCACACCACCTTGTCCCACCTACTGGAATTCCCAGTGAGTTTCCAGCCAAATGTACAATAATAGACACTTTTTAGTTAGTGTTGCTAATCTTTAAGAAAAGAGTGGCATTCTGCAAATTGGGAAAAGCACACTGCCTTCTACATCACAACCGCTTCCTTACAGTGGAGAAGTGATACTTACAGCATGATACTCAAGTATAACCTTCAAACCCCAAATATTTTCATATGTTTTGAATTAGGCCTCTTCTGTGGCCTGTCCATGTCATCTGCATTTCGAGGAAGAGTCAGGAAACCCAGACTTCATAGTCATCCTCTGCTTCATAGCAAATTCAAGGCGAGCCTAGGATACTTTTCCTCCTTTTGAGTTATAACATTTTGGTCAGCGAGTCCAAGGACACTTTTCCAATGCAATGATATATTTTGAATTCAAAAGTATGTCTCAATTTGTCCAGCAGACACTATCAAAAACAACTCTATTCAATTGTTTTGTTTGTGGTAGGTTGACAGCAAAAGAAACAAAACCCAGAAAGGAGTAGTCCTGAGCCCATGGGTTCAAATCATTTTTGGCTTTCGAGTTAAAAGTTTTCTGTCACTGAGTCCAAGGACACTTTTCCACTCCCATGGTCATGTCCCTCCATAATTAGTATCCCAATGTTCTTCCCAATTTCTTTCATGAAGTCACATTGACCCTGAATTCTCTCTCTGGGTACCCTACTGCATCTCTGCAGGGGTGTTTTGACCTTCATGGCTAGCAAAATAACTAGACAGAGGGAGCAGGAAGGCAGTTCTGTCAAATGACATTCAGTAGCAGGTATTGCTTCAAATGTCAGGAGTGTGACCCCTAGGGCAGGATTTTAGGCACATTTACGCACAAGCACAATTAGATAAAAATTCTTCTGGTGATAATTAACCCAGTCCCGAATGCACACCCAAGCATACATAAGTCACTTTGAGGAACAAAGTAAGCTAAATACAGAACATATGCAACTACAAGGATACTCTTTGTAAAGCCTACACAGATATAGATCCAATGAGAAAAACTTATAAACTAATTTATAAGGTTCTGGAGGGGGATCTGTGACAGAATCAACTAGCCACATAGACAAAGCAAAGGTCAGAAGGCTAGAAATCCACTGTAGGCTTCTGGACAGAAAACAGGTTTTGCGTTTCTTCCCTGGAAGGAAGAATTGCAGGTTTCTCATGTGCACATGTGCATACAAAGACCTCTGTGCCCAATACACATACATCCCCACAAAGGTCTTCTTTACCTTCCTGGTTTCTGCAGTTGCTCCAGGGTGTGTAGAAACATCTGAACATTCAGAGCTAGGAGGCTCAGATGACAAAGGACATGCAATGTTTGTCATCATGGATGTGGGCTGCCTCACTCAGTGTGATCTTTTCTTGTTCCATCTATTGACTTGTGACTCTTATTTTCTTTCCAGCTGCAGAAGATTCCATAGTGTTTATGTACCACATTTTCATTATTCATTGGTCAGTTGAAGGATGTTTGTGTCATTTCCATTTCCTAGCTCTTATGACTAGAACAGCAATGAACATGGCTAACCAACTATCTATGGATTGAATGTCAAGGTCTTTCAAACTGTTACAAAGAGTGGTATAGTTGGGGCACGTAGGATATTTATTTTTTGCTTTAGGGGATTCTCTATAGACTGATGTTTCCTGTCCTGACCAGCCACTCCCCATCCTGATAGCTGCTTCCTATTTACCACACAGAGGCTTAATATTATTTGTAAATGCTCAGCCCAATAGCTTAGGCTTATTACTAACAAGCTTTTATATAGAAGTTAACCCATGTAATATCATGGCACTATATCAGACTTATTTTAGGGATATTGCTTACCTATATTAGAAACACTTCTAGCTCTCCTCACATTCTTGATGACATTTAGAATTCTATGTAGAAGCACATGATGCTTCATAGTATTTATGTTATTATTGACAGTTTTAATAAATGCAACATGTGGTATTCACTCGTTATTCTTTATTTCAGGATATGCTGTCATTCTGGGATGTGGCCATTTATTTCTCTGCAGAGGAGTGGGAATGCCTGGGCCCTGCTCAGTGGAATCTGTACAGGGATGTGATATTGGAGAATTACAACAATCTGGTGTTCCTGGGTGAGGAGTTCTTCCATGATAAATTCTTAATAATTGTCAGCATGAATCTTGCCACCTCCGAGAATATCTGGTGGGAATTTATACTTCCAACAGTGAGTGATAATTTTTGAAATTAAGTGGCATGAGCAGACTGTGTACACATAAAAGAGAATTTCACACTCTTTGTTTTAATATTTTTGCTTATAACTGAGGGACATGAAGCTCAAGATATTCAAATCCTAAATTCCTCCAAAGCATTCTGATGTGCCTGCCATGTAACATATGAAGAGCTAATCCTCTGCAGTTCTTTATTGTATCTTCTCATTCTCTCTGTACACAGTCCTGGAGAGGACATGTTATTCCCAGGAGAACACTTACATTGTTGTTCTCTTCATAAAACAGGTCTTGCTTCATCAAAGCCATATCTGGTGACGTTTCTGGAGCAAAAACAAGAGCCTTTAGACATGAAGAGACAAGCATCTGCCACCATGCAGCCAGGTGTGTAGGAACTAGGGGGTCAGTGGGCAGAGTGGGAGGTCAACGGTCCAACAGAAATCCGGACTTTATCCTGAGCAGTGAGACACAAGGTTTTGGTGGAAATTACTTTTTAGGGATCTCCATTTCTGTCCTTTGCTTTGAAAGGAGAACATCTTTCAGATGTTTATGATGCTTTCTTTGAGTCTCCCATGCTTTGTTCTCTTCCTTCCATGAGGTCAGCTTGTGTTTATTGTGACTCCAAAGCTCTGTCATTTCTAAGTGAACTTGACTTATTTTTCATAATATGGTTGTCTTGGGTATTTGTTTTCCTCATAAAATATGCATAAAATCTTCCTGTCTTAAATCTTTGAAATGTATTATTTAATGTTGTAAAGATAGTCTTCTGGTTATGCAACTTAACTTTCATACCTTACAAAACTAAAGCTCTGTTTTAGGATATGTGTAAATTACATATACACTTGCTTTACACATTTAACCACTTTTATACTTTGTGTTTATCTAGTCATTACACACACACACACACACACACACACACACACACACATATATATGTGTATGTAAGGGACTGATTTCCATTAGCATAATATTCTTAAGGGTCTTATTAACTTTTTGTTATGTCTTCATTCCATGTTTGACTTTGATTAATTTTTTTTGTTTGTATGTTCTATGTTGCCATGGTTGTCTTATTTCAAAGTAAGGTTACATGATTTCTAGCTAATGTGTTTTTTAAACTATGTTCCATTGAATACAGCTATAGAAATTTGAATAGAGCCTATCATTTTCAAAAGGAAATGCATGTATGATAATAAGTAAATGTTTCTGTTTTTAAAAATAAGCACCATAACTATGAAGAGTTTTGCTCAGTTTTCATTCATTTCTCACCAGGAAAAGAACAATATACAGGCCAAGAAGGCAATAAAACCCTTCACTGGGACTCACCACGTTCTCACCAGCAAACGACACATTTAAGAATAAAGCCCTATAAGTGTGAAGAATGTGGCAAGTCTTTCTGTTTCCCATCACTGCTCTCTGTACACAAGAGAACTCATACAGGAGAGAAACCCTTCAAGTGTGAAATATGTGGGAAGGCCTTCCATTCCCCATCATTATTTTCTGTACACAAGAGAATTCATACAGGAGAGAAACGCTACAGGTGTGAATTATGTGGCAAGGCCTTCCATTGTCCATCATTGCTTTCTGTACACAAGAACATTCATACAGGTGAGAAACCCTATAAGTGTGATATATGTGGCAAGGCCTTCCATTGTCCATCAGTACTTTCTAGACACAAGAGGATTCATACAGGGGGAAAACCCTATAAATGTGAAGTATGTGACAAGGCCTTCCATTGTCCATCAGTACTTTCTGACCACAAGAACATTCATACAGGAGAGAAACCCTACAAGTGTGATGTTTGTGGCAAGGCCTTCCATGCTCCTCCATTACTTTCTGCGCACAAGAGAATTCACACAGGAGAAAAACCTTACAAGTGTGAAGTATGTGGGAAGGCCTTCCATACCCCATCATTACGTTCTGTACATAAGAGAATTCATACAGGGAAGAAACCCTACAAGTGTGAAGTATGTAGTGAAGTCTTTAGCACCTCCTGGCAAATTTCTAGTCACTTGGTAATCCATTCTGGAGAGAAACCATACAAATGTGAGGAGTGTGAAAAAGCCTTCTCTACCAAGTCATACCTAACAAAGCACAAATTACTTCACAGTATGGAAAAACTTTATAGATGTGAAGAATGTGGCAAACAGCTCAACAGTTCTAGAAGCCTTCAAGAGCATCAAAGAATTCATTCTGGAGAGAAACCCTACAAGTGTAAAGAATGTGGCAAAGACTTCAGAACTTACACAGCACGTTCTAGACATCGGACAGTTCATATTGGAGAGAAATGTTACAAGTGTGGAGAATGTGGCAAAACCTTTTACCAGTCCTCTGGTCTTAAGCAGCACCAAAGGAATCATCTGTGAGAGAAAGGTGTAGATAATGTGCTAAGGGCTTTTGGAACATCTGAAATCCATAATGGAGAAAATGCCAGAAGTGTGAAAAATGTTGCCAACTCTCTAATAAGCTTTCTAATATATCTCAACACAAGGTAGTTCAAACTGGAGTGGAATACTACAAATATTAAGGTGTTCATAAAATGTTTTACACTTCTTCAGACTATAAAAGGTATCAAAATTTTCATTCTTAATAGAAGCCCTAATGGTAAGGAATGTGGTAAAGCTTCAGAATACTTCAGACCATAACCAGCACAAAAGAATACAGAGTGGAAGGCAGCCATACACATGTAAAGAATGTAGTGAGTGTTTCATGGAATGAATGCTTTCTGACCTTCATAGAATTTATCCTGAAGAGAAGTACCACAATTGTGAAGGGTATGGCAATACTTTTGAAGGTTCCTCATGAACAAAAAGGAAGTTCTCAACACTGAGCAATAACCCTACAATTGTGAAGAGTCATCATTCAGCCCTTGCTGTGCAAGAGTCTCTGCAAACAGAATGTGCCCTGGTGTTTAGCTGTTCTTCATGTCTGTTTCCACATCATAGAGTTCATATTGGTACAGTGCACTACAAATGTTAAGATTATGGCAAGGCCTTTGTCTGACTTTCATATCAGAAGTGTCTTCTGAGACTTTATACTAGTAAGAAACACCATGCAAATGGTAGTGGTAGTGCACACCTTTAATCCCAGCACTCCGGAGGCAGAGGCAGACAGATCTCTGTGAATTCAAAGCCATCCTGGTCTACAGAGCTGGTTCCGGGAGAGACTCCAAAGCTACACAGAGAGATAATGTTTGGAAAAACCAAAAAAGAAAAAAAGGGAAAGAAAGAAAGAAACTCTACATACCTAAAACTATGGAAAAAGCCTTCAATAATATCATTAAGCAGCATCAACACAAAAGTCTAGACATGCAAATAATTCAGAAACACCTTATGTAATATTTTTAGTCTTCATCAACACCAAATAATCTTTACTGATGAGATGCTCTACAAATGCATATGTCCTATTTCCTTCTGCTCTCAACAAGTGGGCAATATGTGATGGAGTCTCAATTGAGTGAATGCCTGGATCTGAGTGACCCTTGGTCATGTCTGTGGGTCATTTTCATGAATTCTGATTGACATAAGACTATCTAGATTACTGGATGATGGCAGTGCACCTTGCATGTGCCAATCTTGGTGATTTGGTCTTGGGTGTGTAAGAAGGAGACAGAAAGTAGCAATCCTCCATGGTTTCTACTTAACCTGTCACCTCTGTGTTTCAGCTGTGTTCTCTTGCTCTGGCTTCCATGGATGATGAAGTGCAGCCAGTGAACAGAAACAACCCCTTTCCTCCCCTGTGTAGTTTTTGATCATGGTGTTAATCACACCAACAGAAATAAACAATGTGGGAAAGCTTTCTACTCTTCTTTATACATTAGTTATCATCAGAGCCTCAACACTTGAGATGATCTCATAAGGCTTCAAGGTACCATCAACCTTAACTCTTCACTAAAGCATTCATAGGTGCAAAATCGCCTACTGTTACAAAGAAAAGTACAAAGAGTTTATTGTTTGTTTTAAAAATCAGGATTTGAACACCACAAACAAAGGTCAAACTGCAGAGGAATCCTGTGAAAAGAAATTAAACTCAAATCTAAACTAATGAATCATGGGAAATTCATATTTAAGAAAACTACTACAAAGTCCAGTGATCGCTTATGGACTTTGGATGTCCATAAGGAAATTTGTTTTGTGGAGAAACCCTACAAATAAAAATAATGTGGGAAGCTTTTGAATTAAACTCCATTCTGACTAAATATGTGTGAATTCATATTGTGGAGAAACATCCAACATATGACTCTGGCTAACTTTGTACAACATATAAACCTTATGAGAGCAAATTACTTACAGCAGAAAACATTGTGTGAAGGCAAAGAGTAGCAAAGTTCTTCATCCTCCCTTACACAGTAATGACTAGAGGGGAATTTTTGTAAGAGATCAAACCTGTTAACAATGAATGTTGGAAAATGTGAGGGGTTGCTTGGAATTAAAGTGACATTGACATTTGATAATGCTAAAAAATGTCATTACTGTCATAAACATGCAGAACAAGACTGAGGATCTCAATTTGTTTTGAAATAGTCTCATAAACTTTAACACAGCTAACCTTTCTGAGATTCAATCACATGACTTATGGAAAGGCCACAGGGTGTTTTTTTTCTTTTGTTTTTAGGAGATTTTTTTTGGTTGTTATAGCTTGTTTGTTTTTGTTTCTTTGTGTTATAACCTGACTGTCGAGTAACTCTCTTTGTAGACCAGGCTGTCTTTGAACTCCCAGAGGGCCACCTGCCTCTGCCTCTAAAGTTCTGAGATTAAAGGCATGCACCACCATGCCTGACTGTTGCCTTTTTTTTTTTTTTTAGTACTGTAAAACCAAATTATTACATTGTCCAGGACATTGGAGATGCCAAGAGAATGAAATAAGTAAGTACAGGGCCTGCTAAGGAAAGCTACGCAATGAATGGAGCATGTTGAAGGGAGAGTCTATGTTACTTTCAGGCAAAACTGGACACAAGTCCTTTGACATCAACACGAGTGCAGCGGTTTCAGAGAGCCGACAGGTTGTGTTTTTGCCCTTCTGAATTTTGGGCTGATCTTGCTGTGATGCATTTCTTCCATTGTAGAATCAAAATGTTTGCTCTGTGTCAGAGTGTGGTGAAAGGAGTCAGTCGTTGTCTTGTAGGAACTCACAGGTAAGAAACTACCTTTTGTCTTAGATTAGACACGGACTGGGATCTTTTAGACTCCTGAAATCGTTAAGTGCTTTGTGGATCTTTCCAATTGGATTCTACTTTGTGAATCAGATGATGTAATACTGGGGAGAAGAAAAGGAATATTACCATTTAAAGTTAGGTAACTGGAGTGATCATGATGTGTTTGAAAATAAAACATGATGGCCAACAATACCCACAGCCACATTTGTATTCATAACAGAAAGAGAGAATTATCTGTGAACATTGTCCTCTGTCCTCCAAACTTGGGTCCCAACATATACATACATATGCACAAACACACACAAACAAACTAAACTTAAATTGTTTTTTCAAGGCACATTTTTGTTTCATGTAGACAAGGGATAAAGAAGTAATGTTTAAGTCTCAATGGTTAACATGATTGGATGTGTTATGTGAGAAGTAAGTCTCTGGTCATTACTTTGCAGGGGTTATCTTCTTTAGTTTACTGGAGGTCAGAAGACCTGGTTGGAAGCATCTGTTGACTGGGCCCCTGCATGGTACAAGAATGAAAAAACACCCTGAGACTAAGCAATCTTCACTCATAAACAGTTCCTTGTGGATCAGGAACCATCATGGAATCATGAAATCTTCCCTGTGATGGGCTTTGTATCAATGTCTAACACATGAACTGCACAGGAATAACATTCCCAAGAAGAGATGGGCATTCCATGGATCCAATGTACCTTTTTCACTATGAGAGCGCAGTCAATGGTCCTAAGAACACATTTCTGGCACATTTGCATTCAAGCAGGAATCATCTCACTGTTCTCCTTAGCACAAATTGGGGAAGGTCAAGGCACCCACTGTTGATGTCCAAGATAGTGTCAAATATGAACATTGTCAGGATCAGAGGAGAGGGGGAATTCAATAAGAAATAGCAAACATATGGCAGAGGGAAACCCTACAATGCACCATGGATCAGGAGTCAGTGAACACCCCAGTGTGATCCCAGGAGCTGTGCCCTCCTCTTCGGGAGGTTCAGGGGAGGAGAGCTGTACTCAGAGAACACCTGGTGCTGACTGACTACCTGCCTGAGTGATGAAAAGTCAAGGAGAAGTGTGTGAGGTGGTTGTGGTAGAGCAGTCACTGAATTTGTATTTATTACACAGAGGTGAAAAAGTGTGGGAAAGGAATTTTCAGACAGTTGGAAAGATCCTTAGATGGATCTGGAAGTTCATTGAAAGTAAACGTCAGGGATCTGTAGTTTCCACTTTGTTCAACGATTTTAAACATCTCTGTCTCTGGCCCATGCCTTTCACTGTGTGGATTCCAGGGTTCATAGGAACCCCATTCACCTGTAGAGTCTGATCCATGCATGGGTCACACTGGGTGTCAGCACAGGAGGACAAGGATTATTTTTATTATTAGGTATTAAACCAAAGCCGTCTTCATTATAGCCAAGTGCTTTACCCTGATCTAGCCCACTGTGCGTCATCGACATCGTGTTTAGATGTAGCACATCTATAAATTGTCCTTGTTAGCCCTGTGTTCTTATTCTGGATGACAGGCGGGGTCAGCAAGAGCGGCTTCAAGAAGCATCTGAGTTTCCATGCTGTAGTTAAGATCCCATAGTAAGGAGACCTGAGCTTCAACATCAGAAACTTTTAGCGGAAATACCTAGGAACCGTGGTAAACATTACTGCAAGCTAACATCTGGTGCTGAGATCGCAGGGCTGAAACAGCCCGAATCCCCTGTGTCTGTCCCTGTGATCAACTATGTTTCCTTCCAACCTCACGTGTGCACAGATGGGCAGGAACCCAGACTCTGTACAAATCACCATCTGAGAATCCCCGGAAGTGCTTCGCGCTGCCTTGTGGGAAATGTAGTCCCTGCACTATGACATCACAAGATGGTGCTGTGGACACCGAACTTCCGCGTCCAGACTTCAAACTTCGCTTCTTCTCCAAAGTTAGGCGCCCGTCCTGCTCAGCGCTGGGCTTGGATCTCTGACATGGAGGTTGGTGCAAGGTGCAGCACCGTTGTGTAGATTTCTGAGGGGCCGTGCAAGGTGGCGGGTCCGGCTTGGAGGGAGCTGACTTGGGCTGGGTGGGAGGCAGGAGAAGCTGAGCTGGAGGCGCAGCTGTGCTGACCTAGGCTGGGCCACTGCCCCTGGGTGCAGGTTTGACAGGACAGAGGGGGACATGCCAAAGCCACGTGCTGTGGGTGTTCAATCTCTTGGGATGCCCTGCTGCCCGAGTCCACCTGAGCTTCTGGTGACCTAGGAGCTGAAGGGAGCTGACTTTCCTGCTTGGCTGGGGAAGCATGCTCTCCCTAGTGATCCTGCCTCACGTGGCTGTAGTCAGAGTTCTCAGGACTTGTAGAACACGTGCACATCTAGCGCCTGCTATACTATATGGCCAGCCTACTAGGCTTGGTTTGATCTCTCAGAGGTTCCGCAAGTTCCTATTTTCCAGGAACAGAGTCCTGTGAAGTCTATTGTATGGATGTTAGTTTCTTTTACTTTGGAATGAATTGTTAGATTTATGGATGCCTCCCGTGGGATAAGAATCTCTATTGAACAATACTGTGACCAGAATAATCACATCAATACACCTGCATAGCCACAGTAAAATCTTTTAATTGGTTTAACCCATCTGTGATGGTATATTGTTTATGATTTATTAAAGTTTGCATGAAGATTCAGAAAGCAAAGTCAGCCACAAGCTATAGAAGCCAGGCACTTTTAGTCACAGCAGCCAGAAGCTAGGAGGTGGTGGCACACACCTGTAATCCTAGGACTCAGGATTAAGAGGTAGGTGGATCTCTGTGAGTCCAAGGCCACCCAGATCTACACAAGATTGAATCAGTCCTAAAGAGAATTATATCTCCTGCCTTTAATTCCAGCACTAGAGGGGTATAAAAGATAGAAGCAGCGTTGCAATTTAAGAAAAGTGGCACTCCAGAGAAAGAAGCCCATGCAACAGGGTATTAGCAGAGGGTATTTTTTTTGGGGGGGAAGGGATCAAAAAAGAAGGAAGGGGGGAGGACTGGCTTCTGAAGACAGGAGAAATGAAAGGGGGGAGAGAGATGGAGAGAGAGAGCAATGAACAGATAGAAGGATGGGAGGTAGGCAGGGCTCTTTTAAAAGGGAACATAGTGATGTTCTTAGTAGCCGCAGCTGAGGGTGTATCCTGTCAGAACCCCAAGGACAGGCCAGAACAGACTAGATGGTAATACTGTATCCAATTCCATTTGAGACTGTGTAATGTCAGAAATTTAGACAACTTTTCAGATGTGCAAGAGAACTTAGTGTGATGAGAGAAATAACCCTCCTGGTCAACAGGAGGGGGCTTCACTGTCTCATAAAGGGAGGGGAGAAATGGCCCAGGTGACCTGGCAGGCTGTGGGTATTGTACTCTCATCACATCCTTCTATCTCTTCACTTTATCGACAGTGTCTACACTTCCTTAAACGTACTCTGTCACTAAATGTGGCTTTCAGGTCCACTAATGCCCCCTGAATAGTCCTAGAATGATTTGCCCAAGTTTTTGTACCGTATTAGACACAATAAAAGATGACTTTGGAAGGTGTGGCTCACTCAGGTTCCTGTGATGTACACAAGTTCCTGTTAATGCAAAACCCACAGGTCTCGTCTTAAAGGGAGGAGGAGATAGTTTAGTCTGAAGCCATTTGGGTAGGTGTGAGCTGGGAGCAATTATTTAGGTTACCCCAATTTCATGGTCCAAAATGGAATAGTTTCATGGCTTTACATAACAAAGAATGTCATTAATCAAGGCAAGTTTAAAAAAAAAAATTGGTGTGTACCCCTTGGTGACAGGTTCTATGAGATGGGGTGACATTCTTGGCTTTTGAATTGATGGAAGTTAATGTTCTTCCAAGTCAGTAGATTCTAAAAGATTCTTTTACCTATTGTCACATTTTGTTGGGAATGTATTTTACTCTTTTTAGTTCTTTCTTGGGATCTTTTGAGGGGCCTACCACCCAGCTCCCAAGTAAATCACACACAGAGTCTTTGGCTTGTTTCTATCAAACTTTTCTTAAATTAACCCATCTACATTTTCCCACTGGGCTTTTATCTTTTTTACTTCTGTGTATCTTACTTTCCTTCTTACTCCATGGCTGGCTGGGTGGCTCAGGGGCTTGGTGGCTCGGTGGCTGGCCCCTGACATGTTACTTTCATTGTTCTCTCGTTGCTCCTCTCCCCTTTCTCATTTTTCCTGTTTCTCCTCTGCCTGTCAGCCCCATGTATCCTTGCTCCTGCCTCACTATTGGCTGCTTGGCTTTTTATTAGGACCATCAGGTGTTTTAGATCAAAGGTTCATTGAGTTAAACAAATGCAGCATAAACAAAAGTCACACAACTTAAATTAATATTCTACCACAGTCACGAGCCGTTTGGTCCACTACAGAGTGATACAAGGAATCAATGTTTTTGAAGGGTAAAACGGCCCATGGTAAAGTAATTAATTACTCTCTGAACCTGCAAAATTCCACTCTGCACAGTGGTCCATCAATCTCTGCAGGCACAGACTCCTTCCCAGAGTTTTTCACTCACAGCCAGACTCAACTTCTTTTTTTTTAATTTTTTAAAAATATTTTATTTATTTATTTATTATGTATACAACATTCTGCTTCCTTGTATATCTGCACACCAGAAGAGGGCACCAGATATCAGAACGGATGGTTGTGAGCCACCATGTGGTTGCTGGGAATTGAACTCAGGACCTCTGGAAGAGCAGTCGGTGCTCTTAACCTCTGAGCCATCTCTCCAGCCCCAGAGTCAACTTCTTATCAATAATTTTCTTCTAGAATCCCTCCCCCTATCTCAAGTGCTCTTGCATATATTGTTTTCCTCAGTCAAACCAAGTGTTTGTGTGCTGGAGACTGGCTTATGACATCAAAGTCTACTCTTAGGAAACCTGGGCTTCAAACCCCCTTCTCCTTTCTATTGAAATTTTCAGTGAGTTTCCAGCCATATTTGAAATAATGGACACCTCTCAATTAATGTTGCTAATCTTTAGGGAAAAAGAGTACCATTCTGTGAAGTGGGAAAACCACACTGCCTTGTACATCAAAACAGATTCCTTGAGATTCAGAGATGACACAGCAGCATGCTCCCGTTTAACCTATAAGCCCCAGATATTTACATATCTTTTTTGAATTAAGCATATTCTATAGCTCATCCCTGTCATAGCTGAATTTCAAGGAACAGTCAGGAAACCCAGAGTTCTAAGTCATCCTCTGCATCATAGCAAATTCAAGTTGAGCCTAGGCTACATGAGCCCTATATGATAAAAAAGATTCTTAAAACGTAGTTTATTGGGTATGGTCATTGAAGATGCATTCTTTTCTCCAGTGTATATTTGACATTTTTGTGAACTATTAAATGGCTGAAGTTATGTATGCTTATGTTTGGGTCTTTCTTTGATTTTGTTCCATTGTTCTAGCCTACATGGCTGTTTTTTTTCTGAAAGTTCCATGTTGTTTTTATTACTATGGCTCTATAATATATCTTGAGATCTGGAATAGTCCTTTTATAATTGTTCTTTTTTTCAAGATTGTTTTAGATATTTGGGGTTCTTTTATGATTCTATGTGAACTATGATAGTGTTGATTTCTGTTAAAATGAGATGGGAATGTTGAATGTGATTGCATTGAATCTGTAAGTTGATTTTGGTAAAATGGTCATTTTGCCAGTGTTGATTTTACCAATTCCTACCATTGAATGTCTTTCTATTTTCTAATGTCTTTCTCCCTCTCTCTTTATTTGTTTAAAGTTTCCCATGTAAAAGGCATTCACATCCTTGGTTTGTTTCGTTCCCAGATATTTTATGTTCTTTGAGGCTATTGTAATTGGGAATGTGTTCATAACCTTTCTCTGTATGTTTGTTGCTTGTGTATAGAAAAACTATTAATTTGTGTAAGATGATTTTTATTCTTCCATGTGGCTGTGTTTGAATGTATTTCCAGAAGTTTTCTAGTAGAGCTTTTGAGATAATCTTTGTATCATATCATGGTGTCCACAAATATGCATACCTTTGATTTCTTCTTTTCCTATTTCTAATTTTTTTCCCTCTTTTATTTATTGATCCAGCTAGTACTTCTAGCACAATATTGAAAAGGGATATTTTGTAGCTGTGTATTAACTTCAGTCAGTTGCTTCATGTTTTCCTTACTTAGGATGATTTTGGCTAGTGGTTTTCTCATATATGGATTTTATTATGTTGAGGTATGTACCCCCCAGTAGTCCATTCCCTAGCACCTTTATCATGAATGCATGCTAGATTTTGTTCAAAGCCTTTTCTATGTCTGTTGGAATGATCTTGTTTTTTTTTTTTTTTTGTCTTAAGACTATATACATGGTTTATTACATTTATTGACTTGTGTATGTTGAACCATCCCTGCATTTAAGGGATAAGTCATCTTGATCATGTTGGATAATCTTTTTGATGTGTCTTTGTTCACTTTGCAAGTTTTTTTGAGCATTTTGAATCTATGTTCATTATGCATAATGGTCCCTAGTGTTCTTTTGTTGTTGTTGTTTTGTCTTTACCTGATTGTGTTATTAGAATAATACTGGCTTCGTAAAAGCAGGTTGGGCTGCTCCCTTTGTTTCTTTTGTTTACATATTTGAAGAATTATTAACTGTAAATCTTTGAATGTCTATAAGAATTCTGTTGTGAATCTACCTGGACAAGGAATTACTTTTTTATCTGGAAGACTTCTTTTTACAAATTCAATCTCCCCATTTGTTTTGGGTCTGTCTGGGCTATTAAGTTCTTTAATATTGTTCATTTATGTATAGAAGTTACATATGAATGAAAATGAAATCACAACAAGACTAAACATCTGAAACCCGAGTGCTGGGATTAAAGGCGTGTACCACCAACGCCCGGCCTCTTCATGTCTTTTAAATGCTTTTTGTAGTCTTTGATGAAGTTTTTTTGTTTTGGTTTGATTTTTTTTTTTTTTGGTTTTTCCAGACAGGGCTTCTCTGTGTAGCTTTGGAACCTATCCTGGCATTCGCTCTGGAGATGAGGCTGACCTCGAACTCACAGAGATCCACCTGCCTCTGCCTCCCAAGTGCTGAGATTAAAGGTGTATCTCACCACTGCCCAGCTTATTTTATGGTTCTCAAAAGTTTAATATTCATAGGAGTTTCTAGGCTCTTCTGCATAACATCACAGTACTATGTCAGAAGTATTTTAGGGATATTACTCTACATGTATTTGTAGGACTTCTGTCCTCTCACTCTGGTGACCACTAGATTTTTACCTAGATGGACATGATGCCTTTTGTTATTTATACTGTTACTGACAATTTTAATCAACACAGTGTGTGGTATTTACTCTTTTTTTTTTTTTTTACTTTATTTCAGGATATACTGTCATTCTGGGATGTGGTCATTTATTTCTCTGCAGAGGAGTGGGAATGCCTAGGTCCTGCTCAGTGGAAATTGTACAGGGATGTGATGTTGGAGAACTACAATAACCTTGTGTTCCTGGGTGAGGATCATTTCCATGATGTGTTCAGCATGAAACCTCTTTCCTTTGTACAATGTCTTCTGGGAGCTTGTGATTCCAACAGTGAGATTCATAGTGCTACTTTTAAGGAAAATTAAAATTATTCATATACCTTAGAACTGTTTTAGTTCTTCTTGTGTTCATAATGCCCCTCCACCTTTTTTTTTTTATTAGTTCTAGTTAGGGAACAAGCTTATTTCAAGTCCCTTCTCCCTCTCCCTCCCCTCACCCCCAAACTTCATGACCCCTCCACCTTTTATATGTATCCTTTATATTAGTGCTAATATTAGAAAGCAAGTAGCATGAGCAGGGTGACTTAAGTTAAAGAGACTGGCACACACTTCAGTTTTATTATTTTTCATTGTAACTAAAGGACATGAAGCTCAGGACCAACAAATCCTGAATTCTTGCTAAGCATTCTAATGTGGCCTATCAGGAACCTCATGAAGAAGTAATCCTCTACAGTCCTGGAGAATACGTGCTACTCTCAGTAGAAAACACAACAATGGTGTTCTCTTTTCCCATAAACAGGTCTTGCTTCCTGTAAGCCATACCTGGTTACATTTCTGGAGCAAAGACATGGGCCTTCTCATGTGAAGAGACAAGCAGCAGGTGCCATGCAAGCAGGTGTGTAGGAATGAGGGGAACAGAGGACAGAGTAGAGTTTCAGGTATCCAACAGAGAGTCAGACTTTCTCTTGAGTATTAATGCAAAATGTTCTGGTGGAAATCAATTTTTAAGGTTCTTCTTCTGTCAAAGGGTGATACCTGTCAGATGTTTAGGGTGATCTGAGGCTCATAAGCTTTGTTTTCCTCCTGCCATGAGATTAGCTTGTGTTTACAGTGACAGTCAAAGTCTGTCATTTCTATGGGAACTTTAACTTGGGTATTTATCTGTCTTGAATCCCTGAAATAGATTAAGTAATGTTATTATGTACAGTCTTCTTCTGCAGCTTAATTTTGATTACTTCAAAAACCAAATCTCTATAAAAACATATATATGTATTCACATATTCTCTCTCTCTCTCTCTCTCTCTCTCTCTCTCTCTCTCTCGGTGTTTTGAAGTTTGACTACTTCTATACTTTGTTTTTATGTAGTCAGAAATTTCTGTGTTTGTTTAAGGGGCTGATTTCCATTAGCATAATTGTGTTAAGGACTTTCTTAATTTTTATTGTTCTGCCTTCCTTACAGGATTGACTTTCATAAATGTTCCTTTGTTTCCATGTTGTAAGTTGTCATGATCTTCTTCCTTTAATGGAAGCTTACATGATTTCCACCTATTGTGTGTTTTAAATTAGGCTGTGTTAAATACAGGTATAGAAAGTTGAATGTAGCTTATTATTTATATAGGAAAATGCAGGTGTGAACTGATGGGGGATGTCTTCCGTATATGTTTGTCTTACTGGTTGATGAGTAAAGCCATTATCCTGTTGGCCAATAGGACAGCAATATAGGTGGGACTAGGAGATGAGGAGGATTCTGGGAAAAGTAGGTAGAGGCAGCCATGATGTAGGACACAAGAGGAGAAATAGTTCTGGACTTGTTTTCTGGTAAGAGAAAATCATGTAGATATACATAGATTAGTAGTTATAGGTTAATAATTAAGACAGAGCTAGCCAATACAAAGTCCTAGTCACTGGCCAACAGTATTATTATTAATATGTTTGTGTGTGTTCTTTTGGGGCTGATGCAGCAGTGGGCCTAGGCTGGCAGGAAGAATGCTTGTAACAAAATGGCACCCAACATGGGTAACAAACCCATGACCCTGAGATTAAGAGTCTCATGCTCTACCAACTGAGCTAGCCAGGCCGCAGTGATGAGAACTATAGTTCTTACTTGATAACTGTTTTGTCATATATAATTTGACTATGTTAAAGGTGAAACCTTTCTTTTTATTAGACAGAAAAGAGAAGATGATGGGGAATGTTCTTCTGTATATTTGTTCCTCTTACTGGTTAATGAATAAAGCACTGATTGGCTGATTGGCCAGACAGGAAGTGACATAGCTGGGCAGAATCAGAATATAAACAGGGGACAAACAGGAAATTGCTCTCTTCTCTAAGGAGATGCTGAGTAGTCATCATGTAGCAGGCAAAGGAGTTGCAGGTCTGGCATTCCCCGGTAAGATAAGACCATATGGAAATACATAGATTAGTAGTTACAGGTTAATAATTAAGACAGAGGTAGCCAATAAGAAATGCTAGTCACTGACCAACGGGTTTATAACTAATATAGCATCCACATGTTCATTTGGAGCTGAAGTGGCAGCGGGCCAGTAAGTTCACATTACAGTGAACATATGTTTCTGTTTTAAAAAATAAGCACTGTGAACATAAAGAATGTTTCTCGCTTTCATTCATTTCTCAACTTTTGCTCACCAGGGAAAAAGTGCTATACATGCAAAGAATGTGGAAAAGTCTTTGATTTGAAATCAAAATTTAGTAAGCATCAGAGAATTCACTTAAGAGTGAAACCCTACAAGTGTGAAGAATGTGAGAAGGCCTTCCGTGTCCCATCATTACTAAGGGAACACAAGAGAATTCATACAGGAGAGAAACCATACAAGTGTGAAGTGTGTGCTAAGGCCTTCCATGGCCCATCATTACTTAATAAACACAAGAGAATTCATTCAAGGGAGAAACCCTTCAATTGTCAAGTAAGTGGTAAAGCCTTTCATTTTTCAACAGTACTTTCTGAATACAAGAAAATTTATACAGTACAGAAACCATACAAGTGTGAAGCATGTGACAAGGCCTTCCGTTTTCCTTCATTACTTTCTGAACACAAGAGAATTCATACTGGAGAGAAACCTTACAAGTGTGAAGTGTGTGATAAGGCCTTCCATGCTCCATCATTGCTTTCTGTACATAAGAGAATCCATACAGGAGAGAAACCCTATAAATGTGAAGTGTGTGGCAAGGCCTTCCGTGTTCCATCAGTGCTTTCTAAACACAAAGTAATTCACACTGGAGAAAAACCCTACAAGTGTGAACTATGTGGCAAGGCCTTCCGTGGTCCATCACTACTTTCAGTACACAAGAAAATTCACACAGGAGTGAAACCCTACAAGTGTGAAGTATGTGACAAGGCCTTCCATTATCCTTCAATACTTTCTAAACACAAGAAAATTCATACAGGAGAGAAGCCATACAAATGTGAAGTGTGTGGAAACACCTTCCGTTTTCCATCATTACTTTCTGTACACAAGAGAATTCATACTGGAGAGAAACCCTACAGGTGTGAAGTATGTGACAAGGATTTCCATTGTCCATCATTACTTTCCAAACACAAGAGAATTCACACAGGAGATAAACCCTACAAGTGTGAAGTATGTGGCAAGGCCTTCCGTGCTCCATCAGTACTTTCTGTGCACAGGAGAATTCATACAGGAGAAACACCCTACATGTGTGAAGTCTGTGGCAAAGCCTTCCGTTGCCCATCATTACTTTCCAAACACAAGAGAATTCATACAGGTGAAAAACTCTACAAATGTGAGGTATGTGGTAAGGCCTTCCATTGTCCATCATTGCTTTCTAAACACAAGAGAATTCATACAGGAGAGAAACACCACAAGTGTAAAGAATGTGGTCTGGCCTTCTATTGTCCATCATCACTTTCTGAACACAAAAGAATTCATACAGGTGAGAAACCCTACAATTGTGAAGTATGTGGTGAGGCTTTTAGGACTTCCCGGATTCTTTCCACTCACTTAATAACCCATTCTGGAGAGAAACCCTTCAAGTGTGAGGAATGTGGAAAAGCCTTCTCTACAAAATCATACTTATGTCAGCACAAATTAACTCACAACGTGGAGAACCCTTTCAAATGTAAAGAGTGTGGTAAAGTGCTCAACAATATGAAAAACTTTAAGGATCATCAAAGAATTCATTCTGGAGAGAAACCCTACAGGTGTAAAGAATGTGGCAAAGATTTTAGAAGTTCTACAGCACGTTCTAAACACCGGATAATTCATACTGGAGAGAAACGTTACAAGTGTGAAAAATGTGGTAAAAGCTATTACCAGTCTTCTGGTCTTAAGCAACATCAAAGAATTCATTTGTGAGAGAAACCACACAAGTGTGAAGATGTGCCTAGATCTTTTGTATTCACTAAGAACTTTTGAAAAGACCTGATAATTCTTACTGGGCATTAATGCCACAAGTGTGAATAGTGTTACAAACCCTTTAATAAGCTTTCCAATATTTCTCAACACATGGTAGTTCATATTGGAGTGAAATGGTACAAATCTTAAAATGTTCATGAAATGTTTACACTGCTTGATACCATTAAAAATTATCAAAAAATGCATTCTGTGTAGAAGCCCTTTAAGTGTGGGGAATGTTGTAAAGCCTTTGGAATCACTCACATCTTACCTACACAAAAGAATCAATAGTAAAGGGCAGCCATACACATATGAAGAATATAGTGAATTTTATCATTCAATCAACATCTGTGACCTCCATAGAATTTGTTCTGGAGAGATACACCAAACTGTGAAGAGTGTGAAAATGCCTATAAAAGTTCCTCAAACCTTAAACAAAAAGAAAGTATTCATACTGAGCAACATTCATATAAATGTGAAGAGTGTAGAGAAGGATTTATCATTCATTCCTTATTGTACACCAAAGAAGCCACACTTGAATTTCTGCAAATGGACAGTCTATGGCCAGTTGTTTAGTTGATCCTAATGCCTGTATCCATATCATAGGGTTCATGTTGGTGAAGTGCACTATAAATGCTAACATTGCTAGGTGAAGCAACGCCTTCACCTAGCTATCACATCAGAAGTGTTCTCCAAAATGTCATAAGACTTAGAAACTAGATATACCTGAATAATGCAGAATAGTCTTCAATAAGATTTCTAATCTTTATCAAAAACAAACTATTTATTGATAAGAAGTTTTGCAAATACTTATATCCTATTTTGCTTCTGATAAACTCCATGCAGTTAAGCAATATGTAATTGTGTCTCAATTGGGTACATGACTGGGTTTTATGGACCCATGGGCATGTATGTGGTGCACATGAATACTAATATATAGATAAATCTAGACCACTGGATAATGTCAGTGCCCCTTGGATGTGTCATTCCTGGACAGGTGGTCCAAGATGTATGAGATTGCTGACTGAGCCCAAGCCAGAGAGATGATGGCAGAAAGCACCCATTCTACCATGGTTTCTATTTCACCTGCTGCTCTGCACTTCAGCTGTGTTCTTCTGCCCTGGCTTCCAAGAATGATGAAGTGCAGTCTATGAACCAAAATAACCCCTATTCTCTCTTACATAGTTGCTTTCCATAGCTTTCATCACACCAACGGAAATCTGAGTAAAGAATGTGGCAAGGTTTTCCACTATTTATGCCATCATTATCATCAAAGCCTCCATGCTTGAGACAATGTGACAAGGCTCTGAGGTTTGTTCGACCTTAACTCTGCATTAGAGCATTCAAACTGAAGAAATGTCACACTGTTAAATAATTTTATAAAGGCTTTATTGTCAATTGAACACCACAGTGTAGAGGAATCCCATGAAAGCAACTGAAAATCAAATCTAAACACATGGAGCATGAGAAAAATATTTAAGAGAAACTACTATAAACTCCAACACTAGGTTATTTGACACACCTTCATATCAGGAAATCTCCTGTAGAAAGCCTACAGACACAAACAATATGGAGCACTTTTAGTTTAAATTCAATTTTGTTTACCCATGTGTGACCTCCTATTATGTAGACATCTTTTACATATTACTCTAGCAATAATCTCCAACATATATACACTTCATAAGAGTAAATGAAGTTATAGAAGAAAACATTTGTGAAGGCAAAGAATAGAGCAAGGTACTCCACCCCCCTCTTAGATTATAATGAATAGGAAGGAATTAGTATAGGAGAGCAAGCCTGCTACTGTGGAGTGTTGAAAATTGGGAGGTATTGCTTGGAATTAATGTGACATCGTTGTTTGATGTGCTGGAAAGAAACAAGTCATAGATGTCAGAATCATGCAGTTTACTCAAGTCTGAGGTTATCAATGTCATAAAAACCAAATAATTATGTTGCCCAAGATTTTGGAGATGCCAAATGGAGGAAAGTACAGAATCTGCTGAAGAAAATGACACACGATAGGGAGAGCATACCCGGGAGATAGGTTATGTGTCTTTCCAGTGAAGCTGGAAGGGTGGGGCCACATTTGAAGTCAACACACTCCTGCAGAAGTTACAGTTCTCAAAAGTGGAGGTATCAAAGTATATATCTGCTCTTCCTGGTTTGGGGCTAATACTTTTGTACTATATTCTGATTGTTCTTATTTAGAATTGCATGTTTGTTCTGTGTTAGTGTGTGGAGGAAATAGTCACTTGTTTTTTTTAGGTTGTAGGAAACCTAGAGTCTTGAGTCTCACATTAGATATATCTTGGATTCTTTTAAATCCTTCAAACTGTGAAGTACTTTGTGGACATTTCAATTTGGATTCTATTTTACTTATGAGATGAATGTAAGACTGGGGACAAGGAGAGGAATGTTACCATTTAATGTTGTTTAGGTGGAGCTAGCATGGTATTTTTTGGGGAAACTTGATTGCCAACAAGACCCACAACCTTACTTGTGTCCTCAGTACTCACAAAATACAAGAAGGAACTACCTCTCAAGGTTGTCCCCACACATAGACATACCTATATACATACATAAGTGTGCACATTAACACATAAGAAACTTAGAATATTTTAAGTGTGTGTTTGTGTTTACAAGGGGTGGAGAAGTGATGCATAAATCTCAGTTGTTAACACAATGAGATGTAGAATCAAGCGAGAGGCAAGCCTCTGGTCATTTCTTTGCAGGGGTTATTTTCATTAATTTGAGATCAGAATACCTGTTGACTGTGCGTGGATGTGTCCATTTGCCTGGGATCTTTGACTGTATAAGAAGGAGAGAGTACCCTGAGAGCAGTCATTCATCTGTCTCCCTCTGCTTCCTCGTTACTGTGGATGGAACATGGCCAGCTGCTTCATGCTCCTGTTGTCTTCACTTTCTTACAGTGTGTGGCGATTTGAATAAGAATTGCCCCCACGGTCTCATATGCATTGAATTCATCATCATCAGAGAGTGGCACTACTGGAAAAGCATTAAGAGGTGCAGACTTTTTGGAGGAAGTGTGTCACTGTAGGGGCAGGGAGGTCCTTAAGGTTTCAAAAGCCCAAGGCAGGCCCTTGGGTCTGCTTTTTGCTTTGGCTACACATCCATGTGTAGAACTCTCAAGCACTATCTCTACCTGAATGCCTCATGCCTGCAACTCTAATGATAATCAAAATGTAAGCAAAATGAATGTTTTCTGTTACAACACTTGTTCTGATAATGGTATCTCTCATAGCCATAGAATAGTGACTAAGACAATAGTTCATAACAGGGAGTGTAGTATCTCTGTGATAGGCATGGCCATGCTTTTATTTGGAAGAATATGGAAGGCATTTGGACTTTGGACTAGAAAAGTGACCGAATACTTAAAGAATAAGGGTCAAAATAAAAAAAAAAGAATGCTGAGGTTCATCCTCATAGGAGATAGTGCTGTGGGCTATTTGCAATGTGGAGATACAGCTCAAGAATGTTTCAGAGGGGAAGGCTATTAGTAAATGACCTAGAGATGTTCTTGTGTCATTTTGGCAAAAAAAGGGGGGGGCTATTTTCTTTTTGCCCCTGTCCAAAAAATCTGAGGATAAACTGAATAATTTTGGATTAACAACATTGGTAGGAAAGATTTCAAGACAACCTAGTATTGACTCTTGACATGTACTTACTAGTGTTTATTCTTATGCAGATCTTTAATGAAAAAGAGTGAGATGAGCAAAGAAAATTACAAAATGTACAGTAGAAGAGGAGCACCAGGAGCTGGAATTTGTACTCAAAGAGATAAAGTGTTTAAAGAAAAGTCTGATCCTAAATGGAATAGCGAGAATGATGACTTTAAGGCAAGACCTCACCCAGCTTAGCTTCCAACTCATGAGAAGAAATTAAAGAAAAGCTTATGGTTAGACTTGGTAGTGCACACCTTTAATCTCAGCACTTGATAAGCAGAGGCTAGCAGATTTCTGAGTTAGAGGCCAGCCTGGTCTACACAGCAAGTTTCAGGACAGCCAAGCATGGGCAGTGGAGGTATCCAATAAAAACAGAAAGCTGTTTAAACTGTAATTGCATGAGGGGGCCATGCTCCAGCCCCAGGAACCAGAAGAACTTTAGCTTTGTACATGAGGTTCTGGCTTTAGAGCCAAGTATACAAAAGAAGGGGTCTGGAATCTCCCTCCATAGCCAAGGAAAGTCTGAGACAAGGCATGTTTCAGGGTGTTCCTAAATGGAGGCCCAGAAAAACATTGTGTGAAACTGTGAAAGTTAAGCCTGGACTGCACCGAAGACCCCAAGATGTTGGAGATGACAGAGTCTTTTGATTGTTTACAAAGAGAGCTGCTAACAGCATGTGGAACCAAACCAAGAGAGAGGAGTGTGTTGCAGTCAACAAAGCTGTAAGCAGTTGGAGAGAAGAGCACTTTGATATCAAACATGGAGGTGCAGAATTTGGAGTTTGCACTGATGGTTTAGGTTTTGCTTTGGTCCAGTATTTCCTCATTATGCTCCCCTCCCTCCTCTTCGGAATGGTAATGTATATATCCCGTGTCATGGTGGAAAAAAAAATGTGATCTGCTCTTTTATTTTGATTTTACAAGGGGTTACAGTCAAAGGTTTGACATAAGTCTCAGAATAGACTTTAGACTTTGAAACAACATTTGAGACTAGTAAACTACGGGGAATTTTGAGGTTGGACTGAATGCATTTTTTAAAATTATGACAGCTATAGCAATGGGATACAGGAAGGGGAATGCAGTTGTTTGAATAAGAATGACCCCCATAGGCTCATAGGTATAAATGCTTGGTCATCTGGGCTTGACACTATTAGGAAGTGTTGTCTTGTTGAAGTAGGTATGGTCCTACTGGAGGAAGTATGTTACTGGGGTTGGGCTTTGGGATATCAGAAGCCCAATCCAGGACCAGTGAGTGTATATCTCTTCCTGCTGCCCAAGGATCCAAATTTAATACTCTTAGCTACTGCTACAGCACCATGACTGCCTGTGTGATGTTATGTTGTCCTCTATGACAATGGACTAAATCTCTGAACTGTAAGCAAACCCCAATTAAATGCTTTCCTTTACAAGTTGCCATATTTATGGTGTCTCTTCACAGCAATAGAACACTGACCAGGACAAAGAACAAAAAGTTCAGCAGGATGACAGGAAAAAATGTAAAGATGGCCAAGATAAAAGCGTTAGTGTGTTGTGTAGCACTTCCTCGTTGAATGGAAGCTCACTGAGACTCCTGATGAAAACAAGTGACAGGAATGCCAAATCACCAGGTGTTTACAAGATTCATAACACCACTTCCTGCCCAAGGTTAGGGAGCATAGTGAATAAAAACAAAAATCTAAAACCCAAGGTGGCTGCTACCTTTAGCCACCCATGTTCCTGTTGAAGTTCCTCAACCATACCCCAGCCCACTGCCTCCAGTGAACTCACTGATTCATGAAGATGGCTTGGGTGGGGTCTTTTCATTGTTGATGGCTAATGTCTTATCTGAGTTGAGTAGACATTTGTTCTATTGTCCTCATGAAAAGTCACAGGGCGCTGGAGTTTAATGTGACAGATAAGGGAACTTCGAACTCTGAATTGTTAAAGAGATTAGTTCCCATAAGGGGGATCGTGGTCCTCTGTCCTGAAACAATAGGAAAGGTTCCATAGCTGAGACTACACAGGTAAAAAAGTCTATTTTGGAAAGGGCTGGCCTATTTGACAGAGGCCAATCTGGGAATGCCACTGAAGGATGCTTGCTGTCCCAAATAATCTTCTACAAAGAGTTTCACAGGGGCAACATACAAAGGCGATTGACAGTGTGACCAGGGGCCCTGTAGACAGCCCAAGATAGAACAAGAACTTAGTATCATTGTCCATAGGGTACTGATTTTGTAGGCATCCTCCTGCTAAGACCTAGAGCAGCTGGGCTGACAGGCAGGACACAAAGGCTGGTTTCGAATTCACGTGAACCAGTTACTTCCAGCCCCACATTAGCTTCTTGCTTCGTTATTTACAGTAAAGTTGAGTCAATATGACCTCCCCTTGCTCCAGCAGGAGACTACATCAAATATATTAAGCAGAGTGAAGAGTACTAGAAAATAATACGTCATCCGTTCCTTCAGGGAGTGTATTGTTGAAAGTGTGGACACTTTTCCTAAGGAAGAGATGAATTGGCATGAGGTAGGTGTGGGTGTAGGGATTGGTTGTGAGAGGAGAGGTATTGAATGTCTCTTGGGAGGAAAAGTAGCCCTGCATACTCTTATCAACACACACACACGCACACGCACACGCACACACACACAAAACAGAAAACAAACAAACAAACAAAAAACCGCGACCCGATTAATTATAAAACCTGATGATAAACTATCAAAAGCTGGGCTCACGTTCCCAATCCCGGATCTTAAGAGCAACAGACTTCCGGCGGCTGAACTCTTCTGAAACAGTTTGTTTCTTGTCTACTGGATTCTCTGTCGCTAAGACTGAAACTGTAGAATTCCTTCAGGTACCAACCCCCACCCCGCTACCCACCGTGCGTGAGCCCAAAACGTCTTCGCACAGAGTTAAAGGAAAAGTAGGCTCCCTCGTTGTGACGTCACACACAGCAGCCCCGCCCGCTGCACTTGCGCGTTCTGTCTGCAGGAGTTCCTTTGCCCCGCCCCCCCCCGCCCCCAACGGTCAGGGAATAGCAGGAGTTGGTCGGTTCCTGTTGCATCTCTGGCACGAAGCCTAGTCCAGGATGCAGCGCAGACCTGCAGGTCTGAGGAACCGTGCGGGGCGACCGGGTGGGTCCGAAGGGAGTGGGAAGAAGCTGTCTTGGACCTGCTGTGCTGACCTAGGCTTGGAAGAGGTAGATTCAGAGGATGCTAGGAATGGCAGCTGCCAGAGTCAGGCTCCCTG